TATTACAGTAACCCGGCTCCTGAGTGTCTTATTACCCCTTTCCTTACCCTCCATTCTTGCAATTATAGTCTGTTTTCTCATACTTACTGTCAAAGTAGCTTGTATCATCTTCAGCCTCCAGATGAGGTATAAATTCAGCTTTTTGTCTCAGTAACCCATTCCAATCCAAATCTGTGAAAAATTTGTGCGCTTTGACCTCAACAGCACACCCTGAGATAAGGAGACAGGAAAACAAATGAAAAACTGCGTATGATCATGATATAATTCTATTACACTGTATACAGGTAGAGAACAATGCACTTCCACTATATAGGATCATAAAAACCCATACTTTACAAACAGAGGGCTTCATCAATGAGAACCTTTATTGCTGCTGTACTTTTATAAATACTTTTATCAGTGGTGGACATATGGCTAGATTCACACAGCTTTTCACAAGGATATGTATCTGTAATTACAGCCATGTGATGGTAATGTTCAAATCTCATTGGACTCTCAAAATAACCGTCCCTTTTTAAAAGTGAGTATCTTTATACTGCTGTGTTAGCTTTGTGAATCAAGCCTTAAGCCTCATTCACACGGACAGGTCGGTAAAAACAGCTTTTTACTGCTCCCTGGCTGCCTTCTAAGAAGATAGTGATGAGGGGACCATCTGCACTCCATACAGCGTTAGAACCTATTCAGATGGGGTGATACTCATAGTGACAATCACGGATGGCGCCGTGTAGATCCTCAGATATTTGTAAGATAAGTCACCAGCTCACACACGTTCAGGATGCAAATTCAATCCAAATTTATTGTAAGTGCGTCACATCAGTCATAAAACCAACGTTTTGGGGCCGTGCAGGGTCCCTTCCTCAAGGCATCACTGTGTCGCCTTGAGAAAGGGACCCTGCGCGACCCTGAAATTTTGGCATTAGGACCGATGTGATGCACTTACAATAAATTTGGATTGAATTTGCATCCTGAACATGTGGGAGCTGGTGACTTCAGGCTGCAATGCTTTCCTTCAAGGATAAAATTAGATAGCATGTCACTTTGTGCTCCAACCGCGTGCCGAACACTTGGCACAGAGTTGCTGTCTGGCAGTTCCATGTAAAGGGTGAACATCCCCTCCTCTCTCTAATATGATCACGTCACGAGCATGCACAATGATGTCACGGCAGGGTGTCACCCGGTATCCGCTCCGGGTGACACCTGGCCTCGGGACACCCTAGATAGATAGATAGATACAGTGGCGTAACAATAGCCATAGCGACCCAGGCGGCCGCTATGGGGCTCAGGCACAGGGGGGCCCGGCCAGGACACCCCCCTGATGCCATGCGGGCCGCCTGGGTCGCTATGGGTTCGAACGCGCCGCTGTTCAGATCACCGTGAT